TTTTTAACATATATATTGTATGTTGTGAATATTTTCATCAAAACTTTTTAAAAAACTTTCTAAGTTATTTTCGGTCAATACCCGTACCTCCCTACGGGATTCTAGTATCTAAAGGGTTATTAAAATGATAAATACCGTGCGAATACACGCATCTACATGTCCTCTATGCCACAATGCAAGTGCATTTTGATATTGATTCGCATTCGTAATTTATTCAGAATTTGTCAAATTCTAAAACAGTGGGGCTTATAGGCCCCGTTGGTACTTAAAGGGTTAATGCATGATGTAAATTATAAAACTTCTTTGTTCTCCTAAGAAACTGCCCGAAGGAAAATTTTTTCTAAAGCTCAATAATATAATCGATTTTATCAAATTATTTTTTTTCAATTTATAGTGTTCTCCTGGCTGGTTATTTACTCCAAATTATTCAGTTTACAAAATACGAGTTAAATATGTTGCTTATCTATTTTTTTACACATTATCATCTGGCATATATTTTGGTTTATAAAATTTTAGGCCTTCGATGAATATTTAATATTTTCAACGTCCATTCAAAAGTTTATCTCATTTATTTATCTCTTAAATGGTCCACTTCGTCTATAAAACTAAAGAAATATGATTTCTAAACCAATTCTAAAAAATCTTACTACTTTTACCATTACAGACCGGTCGGAAAACGAAGCAAGTGGTACTGAAAAAGATTCGAATCCAACAACATCACTTTTATCGAATACAACAACATATGAAAAAGATCGTTGTTTTGAAGAGGATATAATGATTGTTAATGATAATGGCAACATGAGTCATACAGTGAGGGCCGTAAAAAGCCTAGTCTTTTTTGTTTTTACACATAAACGAATGATAAGAATATTCTAAAAATTTTCTTTTATATCTAGTTTTGTAGAGTTTTTTTCACCGATCATTTTGGTGAAAAGACTTTTTGATTTTCATTGAGTAATGACAATGGTATAGCCAAAATACTAAATACTGTAGTAAAAAATAAAAAAAATTTCGCACATTTTTAGTAATTGAGCAATTTTTACGTTATTCTACGACATCTGAAAGATGTTCTATATACCATTCGATGTAGAATTTGATGGGCTACATTTTGATATAAAGCACTTCTATTAATATTGAAGTTAATTAATTAATTAATTAGCAATTCGTAATTAATACTAATTAGCAATTAATAAATAAAATGTTGGTTTGTTTTTAAATTCCAAATATACCATTCAAAAGAGCATAAATAACTGAAATAAAAATGTATAACTATTATTTGGAAAGCAACGAGTTTGGTGAGGTTTTAATATGATTTTTAGAGTATGCTCACTTATAATTAGACAAGTAACGCTCCTCCGAGGACTCCCTTAGCTCTTTCTCGTAGAAATCCATTTCCTACACCTTTACTGGAAAAACAAATAAAAAACGTTAAAAATTAATTTCGATGTTTTTTTGACCTTTGAACTCTCGTCTCCACCTTCCACATAATCACCAAATACACTTCAGATTCGAAGTCCGAATACCGAAAAACCTCTAGAAATGTCTTTTCGACCCTGCGGACACACAAGCAAGCAAACAATTTATGTCTACTGGACTCTTCTCTACGAGAAAGAGAATATAGTATTTCTTATTTTCAATAAATTCAATCATGAAACGACACATAAAATACATGATAAGTAGTGCATTTTAAATAGCATCATTTACTCTTTCAAATGACATGTTGGTGCCT